CCACTTTCTAAGAACTGGAAAAACGTGGATGATTTTTTGTCGCAGTATGGAATTGCTACTCAACCGGATAAAACCCTACACAAACGACTTTATTTGTGTTCCTATACGCGGCGTGCATCCCGCAGAAGTGACTTACCATCGAGATACTGATATAAAAACATTGATCGGGATGACACTAAAAGTTGTCTTAAGTGATTTATCGTTTCTCACGTGTCACACTGATCTGATACGTTTCGAGCCCACTTCGGGTTCTGTTCTATCTTTTTGTTTCTAATGCTACTTGCATAGGTACTGTTGACTATTCGCCAAGTGCGAGAACCGGAGCAGTTCGTAAACAAAGCCGAATTGACTTCAGAATTGACTTCAAAGTTGATTCAACATGTGGTAAGTTCGGGGATTGTAAATAACAACGTGGACGGTCGTACTGTGTATGTTCCTTGTATTACAGTTGTGATGTAGTGGGGCCGTACAATTCAATGCTATGTTCGATATTCATCCCAGGATCCGGATTGAATTGAAAATTCACACTGAATCCTACAGAGTATCCGGTCCTATCCACCCTTTCATTTGTGTAGGCAATCCAACGGACCAAGACAGGTGTTCTTTAGAATATGGGTTTTTCTCGACCCGTTTTACTTCGAAGAAAACAAGCGTCTCTGGATGATTACCAGTCATTCCCCCAGAAGATTTTGCAGCGTGGAAAAGAAGTTTCTGGCCTCCTACGGAGACTGAGCGGAGGAAGCTGTTGCTCAATCATCTGGTGGGCGGATGACCCTCCCTCACATTGACCCCATTCGCTGCACTTGTCGCGTGTGGACTATTTTATACGGTCCGAAGACACGGCGTATCTGGGCTAGGGGATCGAAGCATATCCGTCCCTTTGGTAACCAGCTTGTCGGACCTCTGTCTAATGTGGATCGGTCTGGTTCTAACAAGCCTATTATGCAGCTGAGATATCAATCGAAAGAATGTGAAACGCCGTAGGTTCCATCGGCCTCCTGATATTTTATATCTCATATTAGCACAACTGAAGCGGTCGGTAATCAACTCTGCAAACGAAAGTCATGAAAGTAGGGAGCCACAGACCTCTAGTATGCGGGGTGTCTCCTTTTGCTTGACTAAAGGGGCCTCCGGAAATGGTTATGAATCAGTGTGAAATTCAGCCTTGTTTTCAGCTCCACTCTAGACTGTTTGCGTGATCATCATTATCGTCGGTAAGTTAGGATCCAATGTTGTACATTTTCTGGAATGTTTCATTTGGACAATGCACGAAAACAACATGGTCGCATGATGGATTCATTTCGTACACTATGCTCCGCCGTAGAATGTGTAGAGTAAGGTAAAACAGGCGGAATAACAAATGAAAATCACCATGGGTTTCTTGACCATGTTATTGCCAGATTCACAATCAGTGATTTCGGAGCACTTTGGCCTGGCTTCGTTACACTAATGCACTTGATCGCGAACAGATATTCACATTCATTCATTCAGGTGCACACTTCACTTGACTATTGGAAGGCTGTTGGATCTCAGTGTGAAGCAAGCTTACCAATACCTCATCTAAGTCTATTTCGCTTACCAATACCTCATCTACTGAAGTCTATTTCGGAAAAACCATTTTCTGATGCCGTCTCTTACTGGAAAATACCATCCACAACCTTGCACGATTCTGGAGGTCGTACGTGTTGGGCGTTCTAATCGACTATGCCTAACCGCGATCTGCAACAAAACTTAAAGCTTGCTGGAAGCTGGAACATGTATTCCTCCTGACCGGGACTCAACGAGCTGTCAGATGTAGCAGAGCATTTGTGCGGATGAAGGAAGCTTGATGCATCCTGGAAGCTGAGGCGAGGAGCTATGGGACTGTGCGAAAACCGTTCCAACTGATGAGCGCAACAGCCTCGGAAATACCTCTAGTGCATGAATAACTCAACGATAAAGCAACTGACTCGTCCATAGAGAAGAGAAATCACTGAGTCGTTGGGTGGACATTTCTAGCAACAGCTGATCACTTGAGATTGCCTAATCGGGTTCGTGCTCCCCAACACAGTACCATACAATGTACCTGGAATCTCCAATGGTTTTGGGAGTACGCGAGTGCTGAATACTACGTATTACTTCCGTAAAAAGGAGAAAGATGTTTTCCTGTAGGTTGACTAATCCCCTGTAAAATGGCGTAAATATCGTAGTCGCAGCTTCAGGTATCCACTGGGCAGTAAAAAAGTGACTCGCTACCAACAGAACTAATTCGGTTTGGGCATCCGACCGAAATAGTCCTTCAATGATGTCACAGGTTAATTGACCGTTACACCATCTTGTGATACGGGGAGCTGTGCAAGTTCAATGTGGCTTTACGCGGCTCCTGCGTATTTTGCGGTTCATCATCATCATCATCATCACCGTCATTTTCAGCTGTCGTACAGTGGTTGTAGCTGCCACATTTTCGTTCACCGATGATTTGGGGAAGTGGGGTAGGTAGCTGCACATTGGAGGCGGGAGCATGTGTCATCGGATTGTTAA